TGATGACGTGAATGACATAGTAGCACCCATTTGTTTGCTGGGGCCTGCCCTAATCCCACCCCTACCTGCATCTCTATGTCTCTCCCCACCTCCCCTTTCCTGGCTTTGAGGAAGCAAGGGGCCAGTGGTGGCCTATTCATGTTGGTGGCCCACATGGCCAGCTACCATGGCTTGCCCTTCACCGACAGACAGCAAGAAACTGATGTCCTCATCCTGTAGCAGCGAAGAACAGAGTTCTATCAACAACTGGAGTGTGCTTGAAAGTGCTTCCTTCCGCAGTCAACCTCAGACGAGATCATCACCTCAGCTAACACCTTCATTGCCACTTAGTGAGATCCTAAGCAGAAGACCCAGCTGAGTCGCGTTCAAACTCTTGACCCACAGTAACTATGGGTTAACGTGTGTTGTTTTAGGCTGCTAAGTTTGGGGTAATGTGTTCTGCAGCAGTAAAAAACAGTACAACCAGGCTTCCTGGGACTTAGCACTCAGCACGGCCAGTCTAGAAACTAAGAATGTTGTCAGGGAAGGTAAAGTTCATCATAAACCACAAAACACTCTTGGCAGATGTATTTTGAGGTGTCAGTAGGGACTATGCCCTTATAGTGAAATAACTAATGGGATCCATCGTGGTGCCCAGATTGAGGTGCCAAAACAACCTGATTAGGAAAGTGGAGGTTGCTCGTTGAGCCTGGAGTTGGAGCCAGGGGAGAAGAATTTCCGGGGAGAACTCACCCAGGCTATCATGGGCATGGCAATGTGTCCCTGACCCCCAACAGAACATACGTCACTAGGGGCTGATGCTGTTCCTCCCAGACTCGGGTGCATCCTCCCCAGCACCGAGCTGCCCAAACCCTGGCAGAGCCTGCCTCTAGCTTCTGATTTTGTGCTGTTTCTTTCTGGGCTTGGCTTCGTCTCTCACACTTGTGTCCACTTTTTATATTGTGAACATTTTAGAGTGTTATTACATTTTAAATTTTCAAATTTAAATGCATACATTTAGGGACACCTGGGTGGCTCAATCGGTTAAGCGTCTGCCTTCTGCTCAAGTCATGATCCCAGGGTCCTGGGATCGAGTCCCGCATCGGGTTCTCCACTCAGTGGGAAGCCTGCTTCTCCTTCTCCCACTCCCCCTGCTTGTGCTCTCTCTGTCAAATAAATAAATAAAATCTTAAAAAAAAATAAATGCGTACCTTTAGAAATTTCATTCACTAATTGCTAGTCAAATTAGAATCCTTCATAGAGAGGAACAGTATCTTTTTTCTGAATTTTATATTTACATTCCTTCCTAGTTTTCTTTTGAGTTCTTTGTTTTTTGCTTCTTGATGTGGTGATATATATGTATATGATAATATCTTCTATTTGCTTGAAGTACTTCTCCCAGTTTCACAAAAGTCCTTCGGTTTTGGATGTTTTTTATTACAAAGTTTAATTTTAACATATATATATGTAATTTATTTTATTTTTGGTTGTAAGAAGGACTTTCTTGTCCCCAGGATGTAAACATAATCTATATTTTCTTCTGAATTTTAAAATGATTTTATTTCCTATTCTTAGAGTCATTAATACATTTGGAATTCATTTTTGTTAATTGTATGAAATGAAACAGTATTATTGTTTTTGGAGAATTGAGCTCCTTATAACAATACAGTTGAGAAGTTCACTAATTTCCTACTGATCAAAAAACACTAATTCAGCCCTCTTTTTCACCCTCTATACCCTCCCCCTAAGGCATACCATCTCTTTCCATATTTTAATGCACATTGACAAGGCTCAAATATTCCTCTAGCCCCCGCCAGACATTCTGTCCTTTCAGTTGCTCAAACTAAAAATCCTGCTTTATCCTGGGCTCATCTCTTCATCTCACACCTCACAACCAATTTAAGAGCAAAGCTCTGAAAATATGTACAAAATCTGACCATTTTTCACCACTTCCACTGTGACTGCTCTAGGCCACCATTATCTCTCATGTGGACTCTTCTAGAACCCTCTTCCCAGTCTGTGCACCTCCTCTCTTACTCTGCAGTCTCATCTCAGCCAGCAGTCAGAATAATAATACCTAAAAGTGAGTCGGATCCTGTCATTTCTTTGCCCCAAAGCCTCCCCCTGCTCCACATCCCACTCTGGAGCCTAGGACGAGTTCTCCTTGCCTGGGATCCTCTTCCCTCTTTCGCTGATACGGCTATGTCTGTCATTGAATTCACATCTTTGCTCAGTTGTCAGCTTCTCATAAGACCGCAGATGAAACTCTGGCCCCATTTTAATCCACCCGCCCTGTTCGATCTGTATTTGGGTCATGCCATTTACCAGCTCTTTCACCTAGTAGTTACTTTCTATTATGTTTATTGTTTATCACCACCCAGAATAAAAGCTCCATAAGAATAGGAATTTTGTCTGTTACTAATACATCCCAAATATTAGAAGAGTGCCTAATAACCAATATCAGTTGGCCAGTGTTTTTTGAGTGAATTATTGATTGAATAGCCTGCTGAACATTTCCTTCACATCCTATAGTCATTTCACATTCTATGTGAAATTCCATGTATTCTGCCCAAAGTGTGTTATCCACTCTTCCAAGCCAGATGGCTAAGAATCCATCTTCTTCAGCAACCCCTTTTCTTCATTCTGACTCTCTCCTATGCCCACAAACATGCAATCTGTTACCCATTCCTGCTCCTTAATTTCTGCTCTCCCTCCGCCTACTTAGCAGTCACTGTTAGTGACCTAGTTCGAACTCACATTTTTAACATTTGCAGGTGTCTTCACATTCTCCCAAGTCTTCAAGCCTCCAGTCTATCCCTGTGTGATTTCTCCCTCACGTGACAGCCAGAGCTCTCAAACCCACACTTGTCTCTTCCTTACTTAAAATCTTTCCATGGCTCTCCATTGTGTTTAGAACAGTGTCCATACTGCACCTGGTTTGTGAACACGCCCACGATCTGCCCATGATCTCTCCACGATCTGCCCATGATTTGCCTACGATCCGCCCCATGACCTGCCCCACAATCTGCCCATGATCTGCCCACGATCTGCCCACAGTCTGCCCCATGACCTGCCCCACGATCTGCCCCATGACTTGCCCCACGATCTGCCCCATGACCTGCCCCACCATCTGCCCCATGACCTGCCCCACGATCTGCCCACAATCTGCCCCATGACCTGCCCCATGATCTGCCCAAGATCTGCCCATGACCTGCCCCATGATCTGCCCACAATCTGTCCCATGACCTGCCCCATGATCTGCCCCATGATCTGCCCAAGATCTGCCCATGATCTGCTCACAATCTGCCCCATGATCTGCCCCACGATCTGCCCATGATCTGCCCCATGACCTGCCCCAAAATCTGCCCCAAGATCTGCCCATGATCTGCCCACAATCTGCCCCATGATCTGCCCCACAATCTGCCCATGATCTGCCCTATGATCTGCCCACGATCTGCCCCATGACCGGCCTCACAATCTGCCCCATGATCTGCCCAAGATCTGCCCACGATCTGCCCCATGATCTGCCCACAATCTGCCCCATGATCTGCCCCACGATCTGCCCCATGATCTGCCCCACGATCTGCCCATGATCCGCCCAAGATCTGCCCACGATCTGCCCCATGTTCTGCCCATGATCTGCCCCACGATCTGCCCACAATCTGCCCACGATCTGCCCGTTCTTCTCCCCAGCCATGCCTGGAAGTATCCCGGTATCTGGAAGTTGGAAGTTAACCCAGTAGACCTGTTCTGTCTTCCAGACCTATCAGTGCACATGCTCCGCCTTCAGCCTGCAATGACCCCTTTCCACTTGGTGCTCAGAACACACTAAGACAGAATTCAAGTTCTGAGTCTTAAATAAGATGACCTGCTCTGCTTCCATTCCCTTGGCATTTGGCATTTGTGTTGGACTCATTGGCTTACTTACCAATCTCCCCACACAATTAATTTTCCCAAAGAGGAATTGTCCTTTGCCTCTGAATGTCTGGTACAAAGCACAATACAGGGCATAGGGTCATCACGAGATAAATATTAAATTATCATGTAAAGAGCAGTAGACAGAGTCCTATCTCTTCCTCTTGCCCCCCTCTGTAAGATGGCGATCTTAGGTCATGGGATGCCTTAAAAAGTTGAAACAGCATGGATATTTGGAGTCAGACATACCTGTAGGAGACCTCTAACTCTGGTGGCCTGCCATAGTGAGGGAGAGGTGACCACAGACTTCGGAGCCATGAAGCTTTAAATCCGAAATCTACCTTTACTAACGGGGTGGGTTTGGGCAAGCTTCTTAACGTCTTTCTGCGTCTCTCTTGATATGAGTTTAACAGTAATTCCTGTATCATATACTTATTTCAACAATTTATTTTTATTTTATCAACCAATTTAAGATTGCTTATTTTTCCAATTGGACCTCTTCCAAGGTATCCATAAAACAGGAGATAGATGTATTCAGGGAGTCATTCTTGCCTCTTTTTTTCCCACTAGGAAGTGCTAAGGAATATGTCACAGCTCACTCACAGACCTCCTATTGGCTACAGGGCAGAAGTCTGCTGATGTATCTGCTGTTTCTCCCTTTCTCCTGTGTTCTCAGGTCCAAGAGGCTTCCTGCCCTGCCTGTCCTCTCCGGGAGAGATGTGAACGTGGAGGCACAGATTAAAAGAAAATATGAAATGTAAACTTTGGCTCCCTAATTGGACATTTCTGGCTCATACTGTAGAGATCAGGAATATAATAGGGAGAAGAACCTGTCCTTCCCACTCCGGGCCCTATTACTTCTTGAGAAGTCATCCCTTGAAGTCAAAACACTGTTGTGAGTTCAGGAATCAACACCTGCAGCCATTAAGTGGTGCTGCTGGCCCTATACAATCAGCCCGGTCCCAGAAACCTTCTTACTGGTGCTTTGTCTCTCCGCATAACATCACTCCTACAAGCCATTCCTCCTCCAAACTCAGCTGAAAGTACAAAATGCACAGTAGTGTTGACAAAGTGATGAGAGCAAGTCTGCACAGACACACTGGGGAGTGGCAAGCAGAAGGCCGGGCGGCTTGCTCCAAGCCTGGAGGGACACTGGCCGGGAGCTTCCCTTTTCTGGAACGAGGAGTGGCAACTGGGCTCTGACAGACTGAGGCTTGACCTACCCATCTGTGAGGGGCTAAATTGGCAGGGAAAAGGGAGGGGCCAGAGCACCAGCTCTCCCAGGAAAAGATTAAAACGGCTTGGTGGGGGGGAACTGACAGCAAGCACAGGACATGTGCGCCCTCAAGGGCTCATCAGTCAAGGACAATTACATCAGATTTCATCAAATGACATCAAAAGCTCCTCCAAGCACTCATTGAGGAACAAAGCGGTGAGGAGTGAGGATTCCTGGGGGACAAGAGAAGGGGAGCTACTTCTGAGGGCCAAATAAAAGCAGGCTAAGACTTAGAATCTGTTCCTCCCGCCAGAGATGCAAGAGAGCTTGGGCTGCTCTGGCATGTCTATCCCAAGGAAAAAGCTAGAGGCAGGGCTGACTGCCCTGCACCTGACACAGAGAGGAGCGGGCGAGAGGAGAGTTTCTTCAGTTCCAAAGGTTTGGTCTCACCCGGTTTCATTCTGCTGTTTCCACTAGATACCTTGGTCCTTCACCTTCTTCTGGATTATAGATTGGGACCCACAGGGTGCATATGTAAAGCTCTAGCCTTAGATCTGGGGGACGTTTGCTTTCGAGAATTGGAAGACACCGAGGCTCTTCACAATCCTGAGGTCCAGATCAGAGGACCGGGGACGCAGGCTATTTCTTGTGGGCATGATGCCTTCGGGAATGCCCTTGCTCCCGATTCTTTGGGGTTTTTGATTTTGCACCAATGGAAAATGAAGAGGCTGATGATCTGAAAAGTCCTCTCCCAGCACAACCCTGGGCAGGTGGAGAGGGCATCCCACAGCCGAGGCTGCTGCTTGTCATTACTGGCCCAGGGACGGGGGTGCTCTGAGCAAAGGGGGCCATGCAGGGGCCCCCAAACATAGCTTTTCTTGCAGAAACGCTGGCCCTCCCCAAGACAAAAGGTGAGCTCTGGTTGGTCAGGCCTGGCGTGTTCCGGCTCCAGGCTTTTCCAAAGGGTGTGAGGGTGCCAGCGGTCTGGCTTGGCCCTGCTCCAATGCCGGATGCCCCAGAGTGGGAGCTCCTGTCTGGGGCAGTGGCACTGATCCCAGACTCCCCACAGTCCATAGGGGTCACTGATCCCCCAAAGGCAAAAGGTCGTGGGGCTGTGCTGCCAAACACTGAGCCACAGGCGCCATTCCCGTGCGTCTGGGCCACAGCCCCAAACCCAGTTGTACCAGCTTGACCGAAGGGGAACCCTGCTGGAGTGCGGCCAAAAGTCGGCAAGATGACGGCAGGGAGGCGACGGGCGGAGGCGGAGGGTGTCCAACGCCCGAGGTGTGAGTGCGAGGCACTGCTGAAGGCTGGCTGAGCTGCAGTGGGGCTTGGGGTGGGGGATGCCACGGCTGAGCTTCCAAAACTGAAAGGCCTACTGAAGCTTGGGCCAAGGGTTGGTTGGGGGGCCCCTTGCTTCTGCCCACCTGCAGCCCCCAGCGCCGGCTGGGGAGTGGCTCCGGGGGAGAGCGGGAAGGGTGGCCTCGAGCCTGAGCCCAAGGGAACTGCGAATGCTGGGGTCGGACTGGGCCTGCTGGATGATAACGAGGGCTGGTGTGGGGTTACCAGGGCTGAAGCTGCCAGAGGACCGCCCACAGCCCTGAAATTGGCGGTGCTTGTACTAGGGGATATCTGGACAGTGCTGGAAAGGACCTGGCTAAAGATGGTGACCGCGTGTACGGTAGGAATGGTAGCACGCTGCTGGGCTGGGAAAATGAAGCTTGTGGCCGGGCCGAAGCTGGCCCTGAAGGTGTGGCAGGCCGACGGGAGGCAGAAAGTGCCGGCCGTGCTCCTGGTGACGTTCACTACGCCCAGATCCAAAGGTGCCACGAAAGCAGAGTCTTTGGACGTGAGAACTGGGGTGGCAGACACGACGACAGAGGTAGCTTTGACCAGGCCACGGAGCAGATGGGCAGAAGCGGCAGGAGCCAGAGGAGAGGCCTGCTTGAGAGAGAAAGGCGCCATGACGGGCGTCGCTCTAAGGGGTCCTATGCCGCCAAAGATAGGCTTGAAGGTGGGAGTCGAGACGCTTGGAGTTGAAGATGCTGTCGCGGTGACTGAAGTTCTGGAGTATAAGGAGCCTCCAGTCTCACTCTCGGGTGGGAGCCCCAAAATGGGGTTCCACGTGGGGCCCGCAGAAGCCGCGACAGGAGGTGCAGATGCAGGAAGATGGGGAGCTGGGCTGCTCATTCCAGACGGAGTACTCTGCACAGTGAGCCCTGCAGGGCTCAGGGCAGGCAGCCTCGGGGGCATGGTAGTCCTGTCAGCCTGAGAGCTCGCAGGGGGCCATGTGGCGTCAGTGGCCGGTGACGTGGGAGAAACAGGGGTCAGAAGGATGAAAGCTGCCGTGGGCCGTGAGTCTGAAGAGGTGCCTGGAAGGGGCTCGGACCGTGAGCGGCCTCGGGAGGACAGCAGGCCATGCTCCTTGCCAGCGGACTGCGCTCTACGGACGCCGTCTTCAGGAGATGGTGGCAGGGCCAGGGGAGACCTCTGCGTTTTTGTTAAGCTTTCCAGCTGTGGACTTGTGCCCTGGGTTGGAGCCGGGCCTGCGGAAAGCAGGGTGAGAGACAGGGAAGGCTGAAGAGCAGAGCACGTCTCAGAGGCAGAGTCTCTGGTGACCTCAGTTGTCTCCTCTCCGGCTCTGTCGCTCCCCTGGAGTCCACCTCTCTGCCCTAAGGCCAGGCCCTCTTCAGGGTCTGCATCACCAAGCTGGGGAGGTGGGGTCAGTGACAGCAGGTCCCCGGGACTAGAGAGTGGCCGTGGGATCTCCTGACTCTGCTGCCCAGAGCTGCCAGTTGATGCTGGGGACTCGTCTGATTCCAGTGCGACTGGGGAGTGAGGCTGATGACCCTTTTCCTTCCTTTTTACTGGCCACTCTGGTGTCTGCAGGGATGCACTGGGAACACTTCTCTTCCAGGGCTCACAGAAAGCTCTAGAAGAGCTGTAAGAACTCGTGATAGCATTTCTTCCGGAGCCGAGCGGGCTGCCTGTGCTGGCCAAGGAGCTCACGGGGGAGCGACTGGGCCTCTTCTTCGGGCTGCTGCGACCGGAGCTCCAGGACTCGAGGCTTCTCTTCAGAGGCCCGGGCCTGGGCACGAAAGAAGTGAGGACTCCATTTTTCACCAGCGGCTTAAACGCGGATGGTCTGGTGTCCGGACTCCCTCTCTTACTGTGCGAGCCGCCGTCGGGCAACAGCGGTTCTTCAAACCTCACCCTCCCTTTCTTGCACTCCCTGAGGGCCCTCAGCACCGTCTCCTTCGCACACGGGTCTGGGGGCTTCTCAGAGGGCGAAGGCCCTGCGGAGGCGATCGCCGCTGCGGGGGAAGTGGAGGCAAGCGCTCCCCGCTCAGGAGGGGCTATCCTGATGGTCACCGGGCTCCCTGCCGCCCGGGGGTGCCGAGGAGACCACACAGCCCGCTTGACGTAACTGTCCCACCAGTCTGAGGGAAGAGGCCCCACGATGGAATCCCGGGGCCTCTCCATGGGAAGGCGCCTCCAAGCCCCATGGGCCGCGCACGCGGTGGGCCTGGCCGGCTCCCGGGGCGGCTGCCGCCTCGCACGTCCGTGCCGCAGGGCGGGGGGGGCGCGATGGACGTGCGGGAGCCGGTGGACCCGATGGAGGGGCTGAGCCGGCCGGCGCTTCAGCGGCCTCTCCGAAGAGCCTGCGCGCGTCTGCGCTGGGGACGACGGCGGGGACCCCGGCTTGCCCAGGTAACTGCCCATGCGGAGCGAGGAGGCGGGTCGGTTCCCGAGGTTTCTGACTGACCCAGCCGGAGTCGGAGTGCGCGGCGTTCCGCTGACGGTTGGGATCCTGGCGCGAGGAAAGTGCGAGGGTCTCGGGGCGCTCGGCACCCTCCCTGGCCCGGCACCCACAGGTCGGCGCCCGGTGGGAACAGAGAGCGGCCCCGGCAGCCCCAGTAGCTTGCGGTGCGGTTCTGAGGCTTCCGCGGGGCGCTCGGGGCCGTGCGCTCTCAGGGGCGGCGGGGCGCGCGCCGCGGGGGGCGGGGCGGCGGGGGGCGCGCCGGGGAGGGGCGGGGCGGGGGGCGGGGCGCGCGCGCCGGGGCGGGGCCGGGCGGCGGCGGCGCGCGCCGGGGAGGGGCGGGGCGGCGGGGGGCGCGCCGGGGAGGGGCCGGGAGGCGGCGGCGCGCGCCGCGGAGGGGGGGGCTGCGGGGCGCCCCGGGGAGGGGCGGCGGCGCGCGCCGAGGGGGCGGGGCGGCGGGGGGCGCGCCGGGGAGGGGCCGGGCGGCGGGGCGCGCGCCGGGGAGGGGCGGGGCGGCGGCGCGCGCCGAGGGGGCGGGGCGGCGGGGGGCGCGCCGGGGAGGGGCCGGGCGGCGGGGCGCGCGCCGAGGGGGCGGGGCGGCGGGGGGCGCGCCGGGGAGGGGCCGGGCGGCGGGGCGCGCGCCGGGGAGGGGCGGGGCGGCGGCGCGCGCCGAGGGGGCGGGGCGGCGGGGGGCGCGCCGGGGACGGGCCGGGCGGCGGCGGCGCGCGGCCCCACTCGGCCTCACTCCGCGTCCGCGCCCGCCGCGCCGGCGCCGTCTGCGAGCTGCAGTCGAGTGGGCGCCGGGTGTCCAGGCTCCCGCTGCGGCCACTCAGGGGTCCAGGCGCGCGGCCCGGAGTCGGGGTAAGGCTGGCGGCCGGAGCCCCGCAGGGTGGGTGGGGGCGGCGCTCGGGGTGCGCAGGGCTGGAGAGCCGACAGGGCCCCCGTGGCAGCCAGCAACCCTGGGCGCTGAATTCGGGGACTCGGCGGGCGTTTCCCACGCCTCTCCTTTCCTGCTGCCTTTACCTCTTCGTCGCCAGGTCGGACGGGCGAGAGGACGAGCTCCCGCCACCGCCACCTCCCGGACCCGTCCTGGGTCTCCGCCCCGCGCCCGAATCCCGGTCGCCCTTCAGTCGTCGGCGGGACGACAGGAGGGCCCTGGAGAGAGACCCAGCGCGGAGTGGCTCGGGCGCAGCGGGCCGTGGCGCCGCGAGGCGAGGACGCTGCCTTCAGTCCCCGGGAGGAGCGGGTCGGGACGGAGACACTAGAGAAAGGCTGGAGGGAACACTCTGCTCCCGGGTGCGCAGTAGTTTCCCTTCTCGAGTCCTTCGTGACTTTCTGTGGATCCGTCTCCTCCTGGAGTCTCCCCTGCCCGCGACTTCAGTGTCCTCGGGAAAGAAAAGCTCCCCCTGTTCCATTCAGTTAAAAGTACAAGGTTCTGAATAGAAGACCCGAGAGGCAGCGATTTCTGGACAAGGAAATGATCGAAGTCTCGTGCTGCCCAGGAGTCAAGGCCCGAGGCTGCTCTCGCCCCCGCTGCCGGGCGCCCCGAGGCCTGGGTCGTTCCAGCAAAGGTAAGGCTGACCTTCATATATTGCTTGTCTGTGTCCATGATAGATAAGGCTTCTTCTTAACCTCATGCAATTTTATTTTATTTTTATTTTTTTAAAGATCTTATTTATTTATTTGAGACAGAGAGAACACATGAGAGGGGGGAGGGTCAGAGGAGGGAGCAGGGAGCAGGGAGCCCGATGATCCCGGGACTCGATCCCGGGACTCCAGGATCATGACCTGAGCCGAAGGCAGTCGCTTAACCAGCTGAGCCACCCAGGCGCCCGACCTCATGCAGCTTTAAATTCTAGGCTTTATTTGTGTGAAAATATAGCTATAGATTTTTAGATAGAGACGTGGTCAGAGAAGAAGGGAGGATATTGACCAAAGCATTAACATAGTGGTTATCTCTGGTGTGTTACTGGAGTGGGTTTGCAAGGAATTCTTTTGGTTTTCCTGCACTGTTTCATATTTTCTACAAGGTTCTATCTCATTAAAAAAATCAAACTATTTCCATATTTAAAAAGAAAGATTAAAAAGGAAAAAAAAAGTTAGTTGCAAGGAAGATGTATTTGAAGTCAGTGTCTGGAGCCAGGAGTCAAGAAGGAGGCCATCGGAAGAGTTCAGGAACCCAGGCAACGAGGCCTAAGTAGGGATGTGGACTTTGATCCTTGACCCGCCTAGCTGGGGTTCTGGGAGAATGAGAGGGGAGAACGGAAGGTTACTTTGAGCATCCTTTATGCATGATGGCTTCACAATAGCGGCCCTGAGTTAGAAGTCCCTGCCAGGTAAGGAGACAGACAGCATCAAACATCTTGGCATTGAAAGAAAAAATTGATCTATTGGATTTCATTAAAATTAAAAACTTCCACTCTAAAGACACTGTTAAGAGAATGAAAAGACAAGCCACAGACTGAGAGAAAATATTTGCAAAACCTATCTGATAAAGGACTGGTATCCAAAATAAACATAAAGCTGTCAAAACTCACAATGAGTTTTTTAAAAACCTAGTTTAGAAATGGGCAAAGGACCTGAATAGGTAAGTCACCATGGAAGATACACGGATGACAAATATGCATGTGTAACAATGCCCGACATCATACATCATGAGAGAATTGCAAAATCAAGCATCAATGAGATGCCATGACACACGTTAGAGTGGCTATAATCCAGGACACTGGTGATACCAAGTCAGGATGTGCAGCAACAGGAACTCTCATTCATTGCTGGTGGGAATGCAGAATGGTACAGCCTCTTTGGAAGACAGTTTGGCAGTTTCTTACAAAACAAAACATAGTCTTACCATGCCCTCTGGCAGTCACACTTCTAGGTATTTACCTAAATGAGCTGAAAAGTTTTGTCCACACAAAAACCTGCACATGAAGGTTTATAGAAGCTTTATTTATAGTTGCCAGGAATTGGAAGCAACCAGGAAACACTTCAGTAGAGGAATATGATAAATTGTGGCACATTCATACAATGGAATATTATTCAGCACTAAACAGAAATGAGCTATGAAGTCATGAAAAGACAGGGAGGAACCTCAAGTCTGTATTGATTGCTACCTGAACAAAACCAGTCTGAAAAGGCTGTGTGATTTCAGCTATATGACATTCTGGAAAAAACGAAACTAGAGAGAGTAAAAAGATCAGAGGTTTTGGGGAGGGGGAGCATGGGGCATTTTATTCTATGTGAAACTATAATGGGGGATAGATGACATTATGAATTTGGCAAAACCCATAGAGTATACAACAAATGAGTGAACCCTAATGTAAACTGTGGACTTTAGTTAATAATTATGTATCAATATTGATTCATCTGTTGTCACAAATGTCCCACACCAATGCAAGATGTTGCTAAGAGGGGAACTAGGAGTGGAGGTGGGGGGAGGAGAAAGTATCTGGACAGTTCCTGTACTTTCTGTTCAGTTTTTCTGTAAATCTAAAACTGTTATTAAAAAATAAGGTCTGCTAATTTAAAAGATTAAAATAAATTTTCAATGTCTTGGAGCTTGGATTCCATGTTCACTCCTCTTCAAATTCCTTTGCGATTTGTATAACAGTGCCATAATATGTAAATCCCGGGTACCTAATTATTTTGTTATTTAAGCAGGTAATGCACACATTCAGCACATTATCAGGTAGGCAAGAAATTATGGCAATTTTTAAGTTTTAGTCCACAAAATTGACAAGCAGTTTAGTGTAGCTTAATTTACCCATCTGCCCTTCTGCACAACCTAGCCTTCTCCAGGATCTAGGCCCAGGGCCTTGGGGTGAACTCGGATTGGTTCTGAGGAAGCTGCCAGCAAATATGTTTAAAGAACCAATCAGGGGTTGCTGTTACTATGTCCACTACTATTGGGTGGCAAGGCAGTGGGGGTGAGGGACTTAGATGTAATCCACATTAGTGGCTGGGAATTTTTCCAGAGCAACAAGATTGACGTTGAGGTGGTGCTGGATGGGCCATGTAGAGAGAGACCAGGGAGGGGTGCTGCCTAGGGAGATGACAGATGGTCAGTCGGGGGCTTAGGGAGGGGAGGATGGTAGAGCGCAGAAGGCAGACCTAGGGGAGAGGGAGGTTGAAGGTGGTTGAGATAGGAGTGAGGGAGGGGGAAGAATGATAGACCCAAAATAGCAATGCCTCTGGGTAGAAAGAAAAGGTGAAATTGAGGAGGGAGGTACCGGAGGCTTTAAAGCTACTGACTGTTTGATTTTGTAAAAGCCATATTGTGCAAATCTGTGTATTTATTTCTATATATTGCATTGTTGAATATGCCTGTAGTTGTATGCGTTCACATTTTCACAGTGAAATATACTGTATCATATTAAATCTTATGTTGTTGAAAGCAATTAAAATACAGTAAAAAATTTTAAATCTTAAGGCATCTTGTACATATCAACTAATACAGGTACTAGGGGTTCTATTAAAATTTGGGGCCTAGCTCATGGAAAAAAAAAAACTTAACAGCGTTTCAGATTGCTTTTTAAGACCACTTCAGAAATACAGACCCACTCGAAATGTTTCGCTATCACGGCCGTGTTCAAGGGAGAAAAATTCCCTGGGACGCTGCAGGAAGGCCCACGGAAGAGCAGAGCTGCACTTTCTGTCCCCTGCGTGAAGCTCACGGCGGACTCATCTCTGGGGTCGTCCTGCAGCCCCGGAGAATACACTCGGGTATGCATCGCCTGGGCTGAAAAGAAGCGTGCCCAGGTGTTAAGTTCGCGATTTTAATTGATGATTATATTAAATTTGCCAGGAGGACGTGGTATCTGGAGAGGGATCTGTGGCTTCTCTGGACACATCGGGGCAATCCGCTCTCTGCAGAGACACCTTCACTGAGGATGACAAGTCCAAACGAAGTCCAAGCGCCTTCTCTCCCAGTGGGCCGAGTTCACTGAGGATGACAAGTCCAAACGAAGACGCGCCTTCTCTCCCAGTGGGCCCCGAGCAGTCTGGGCCCGCCCTGCCTGCATTGACCGGCGGCGGAAACCTCCTTTGGTGAGTATTCTTCAAAGCCTTCTGCTCTGAGAATTTGAGGGAGGTTTAAGGCTCCTGAAAGCTTTTCTTATTCTTATTTAGGGCCAGCTTCACGGGGACAGTCCTGGGTTTGGCTTATTGCTTTTGCTGTTATCATCTCGAAATTCCTAATACTTTTTCATGAGAGGCCCTGTTTTCATCTCGCGCAGGGCCCTGCACATTTATTAGTCAGCACCACCCTCATTCGTTCCTTTCCCAAATTAATGTACTTTACGCTCACATTTTTCTCCTGCTATTTCAGTGTTACCTCTTACTAATTTTGGTTACCAAACACTGACTCTTGGTCTTTTTGTTTTCTCTTTATTTTTTCTCCCTTCCTTTATTTCTCTTTTTCTTTTCTGCTACTTCCTTCCCCAAGCAGTGGTTAGCAGGATGGATGGAGGTGAGAGGCTGCCTGGGGTCAGTTCAGTTCCTGCCACATATTAGCGGGGAGGCCCTGGGCTGGTTACTCAGTCTCTTCGGGTCTTCGTCTGTGAATTAGGAAGAATTATTGTACATATCTCATGGATTTTATGACAATTAAATAAATTATCTGTAAAGCATTAGGACATTGCTTTAAACAGAATAAGTGCTAAACAAGTATTTATTAAGTACTTTAGTAATCTCCTATCCTCATAATGCACTTGCTGTGTTTAAATCTACTCAAGTTTCATTGTCCACTTTTACAGTATTTCTTTTTAAAATTCCTCTCACATTGTATTTTATTTTTTTATCTTATTTATTTATTAAAAATAATATTCTATACTTTTTCATTTTTTATTTATTTATTTTAAGTCCTCTCTACACCCAGCATGGGCTTGAACTCATAACCCTGAGACCAAGAGTTGCAGGCTTCACAGGCTGAGCCAACCAGGCGCCCTGTCTTCTCACATTTTAAATCTATTTTGGCATTAATCATTTTGCTCAAGCTTTACTTAATTCCATTCATTACATCCCTCTAATATTTTTATTCTTCTGCTCTTTCTTCTCTGTACTTCATACACTAGGTGACTTTCTTAAAAGATCTGATTCTCAATCTCCTTTACTGGGTCACCTCCTGCCTTCTGTTACAACTTCTCTTGTTTTCCTCTGCCTTCTATTCTACTCAGCTTTATTCTGTACCCATTTATTTCTCATTTAAGGTGTTTTGCATACCTTCCAGATATTTTATGTATTTTCTTTATGCTTTTTTACAACCACTTATGTACAGAGCTATCCTCCTTTTTCCTGTAACTAGATCTCTAGCATCCCATAAGTGCTTCTGCTTTTCCCTGATTTCACAAGTGGATGTGTGGAACTTTTATTCTTCTTCCCTCCGATATCCTTTAAAAATTTTTTTACACATAATTCTTAAAATTCTAGCATTCTTCTTTTTCCTCATGCTGTATCATTTTTGAGCATCATTTCTCCCATTACTATAGAGTCTATTTCTTATTTTACACTTTTCCTTCACGGATTTACATGTTTCATTTTTATTTTCTCTTTCTTCATTCTTACTCCTCTTTCCACTCATCCTCCTCAATTTCTTCTTTTCCCTCTTTATGTATGCTCATCCTCTTATTAAATGTTTTATATTACTTTTTAATGCTTGTGTGTTAAACAAGATTTCCAGTTTCATTTTAATAATGCTTTTAATCTGTAAATTTTTACTATCTATCTATCTATATATATATATTTGTCTAGAAATTCAGGTATTCTTTTTTAATTCTGTATCTTTACTCCTTGCCTCTTGACTTAATTTTTCTTTGTTTTCAATACTTGTCTTTCATTTTTTAGACCACCTTAATGCAAACCTTTCGCTGTTTGACACACCCCTATTTTCATATTTTTTTGTTACTTTGTTCATCCTAAGCTTGTCTTTGTAGGCTAAGTCAGGGTCCACCAGAGAAACAGAACAAATGGGATGTGGGGAGAGAGACAGAGACAGAGAGAGAGACACATAGAGGGATTTGAAGGAACTGGCTCACCCCGTTGTGGGGACTGGCAGACCACTGGGCTGGAGACCCAGGGAAGAGCTGATCTTACAGTTCTGGTCCCAAGGCAGGCTGGAGGCAGAATTTCTTTACTGATTGGATGACACCCACCACATTATGTAGGGTATTCTGATTTGCTCAAAATTACTGATTTAAATATTAATCTCATCTAAAAAATACCTTCAAGTAATATCCAGACTGGTGTTTGACCAAACACCTGGATACAGACAGCCTAGGCAAGATAACACATAAAATTAACTATCCCACCTCCTGTATGGGGTCGCCCCTCAGAGCTCTGTCCCTGGGAATGCTCCTCTTCAGTCCCCTCCTCCTCGGGTTTTAGGATCTGTCCTCTGCGTGTCCCATAGGCCATCGCTGTCTCCAAGCAGCCTTAGCTAGTGTGTATTTTTAAATGCTTTCAACAGATGCCATCCAGAGTGGTGCTCCATCTTGAGGGGATGGTTCAAACAAAGGTCTCTGCACCGTTCTCTCGAGAACCACAGAACGAGGTCAAAACACAAGACCACAAACTTTATTTTAAGCACGCTGTCTGTATTGCCTCCCCCTTCATTTCAGCCAGCCACTCCAGGAATAGCGATCGCGGTCTCCCTGGCCACCGCGGAGCTAAGGACGGCTGGATGGTAGGTGGGTAGGCAGAAGGGCCATAAGCCTTTCTTAGCAAAATCAAGCCCTCTTTTTCTCATTAAGCACTCCCCTGGTTCCTGTAAGTTTTCTCCTAGATCTCAGACTTCCAGAAACATTGATTCTGTTCATTGTTGCCAACTCCGTGGTTGCTCCTGTGGAGGAAGTGATTTTTGGAGTCCTCAACCCTGACGTTTCCATGATGTCACTCCTGCGTGTTTATCTGTAAAGAACATTTCTTGCAGGTGGGTTATAATTGACTCTTGCTTTTTTTTTTTTTTAACCCTGTCTGACAACATTCAGCTTTTAATTGTTATGGTTAGCCTACTTACATTTGATTTATGTAATTTGTAATTTAGGTGGATTTAAGTCTACCATCTTGTGGTTTTTCTATTCGTCCCCGTTGTTATTTGTTTCTCTCTCCCCACCGCTTTTTCGTGTTTTTCTGGATTAGTTTTAAGCAAGGATATGACACAATCCAACATAATTATTTTCCACATAGTAGATGAGTTGAATGGCAAAGTTGAGCAAGAAAATTGAACTAATTATAAATGCATCACAGTACACCACAAAAGAGATTCTCAAGGCATGAATTAAAAAATAAATGGGGATGGGGCACCTGGGTGGCTCAGCCAGTTAAGGGTCTGCCTTCGGCTCAGGTCATGATCCCAGGGTTCTGGGATGGAGCCCCGCATCGGGCTCCCTGCTCAGCGGGGCGTCTGCTTCTCCCCTCCACTCGTGCTCTCTCTTTGTGTCTCAAATGAATAAATAAAATCTTTAAAAAAAATAAATGTGGAAGAATGAGCCAGGGAAGGAGGGATATAGTGCTTATATGTGGGGAATAGAATCAGCATGACATTTCTTTGACTAGGGAAGTGAGAGTGTAGAAAATATTGAGATGATCCTACTCTCAGCTCTGAACTCAATGAATGCTGCTGCCTGAGAGAGGAGCAGCAAACGTGGGGCACGAAGTCATGAGCGAGTTTGGGAAATGCGTGTGAGTGTGTGTGTGTGGTCAGTGCTTCTGGAGCTCAGGAGGAAGGTCTTGGGCAGAAGCCACCACTCAGGTAGTAATGAATCACTGCAAGTTCCTAAACATGACAGGATTGTCCGAACTGGCATTGGGTTCATGGACAGCTTATTGCCACTCACTATATATCTGTATATCTTATTCATTCAACCTCATCAGAAAAAGCCCTTAGATGGGATTCTCATTCACCTAACTTTGGCCAGCATTAGCACAGCTGTCTTCAGGGGCATCCCGTATATATAGTGACCTCCTCTGGAATTAGAAATATTTTGGAGGGGGGCGCCTGGGTGGCTCAGTCGTTAAGCGTCTGCCTTCGGCTCAGGTCATGATCCCAGGGTCCTGGGATCGAGCCCCACATCGGGCTCCCCGCTCGGCGGGAAGTCTGCTCCTCCCTCTCCCACTCCCCCTGCTTGTGTTCCCTCTCTCGCTGTGTCTCTCTCTGTCAAATAAATAAAATCTTTAAAAAAAAAAAAAAAAAAGAAAGAAATATTTTGGAGGATATTGGTTGTAAAGCAGTGCTGTACATTTTTAGGGTGACATGGGGTGCTTGTATTTGCACTTCTTCGCTACCGAGTACATCTCAGGCCATTATTATCAGTCCCGCTCATTCCAAGTGGGCATGGCTCAAGCCCAGATTCTTCACACACATTCTGCCCTTGTTGATTTATTCCTGGATAAGCAGTGTGCTAATGAACGCGTGCGTGATCATAAGTACTCCTGCCACCCACAGTTCCACTGAAGCTGGACTCGTGTATTGTCTGATGTTCTGTAAAACAAGACGGTTCACATACCATTCAGTGTTGTTTCAAAGTGTCATGTTTATGCTAGATTTCTTCTTTTTGCTCTTCATGATTTGGGCCAGTTTCCACATGGTGATTGTCCTATTCAGGCATCACAAGACACCCACGCATATCCACAGTCCCAGCCTCTCTCCACAGTCTTTTCCCGAGACAAAAGCCACCCATACTATCCTCTTGCCAGTGAGCTGCTTTGTTTTCTTCTGTGGGACTAACTTGGGTCTTTCCATTCATATGAACTCTATATATGAGAAAAACCTGATGCTGGCGATCCAGCACTAGTTTTCTTTCATCTTGCCCTGGTGTTGATTCAATATGATCATCGTTTCCCCATCTACCTTTGTCATTTCAGATACGATCATTTCCCCTTGCTCACAATGGAGATTTCTATTGCATCTAGAAATACTGACAAAAATTATTTTAATTGCAGGAGAGCATGGTTTTAGAATCCTTATGCATAGAGACAGTGGTCCTGATTACCCCTAGATAAAAATTTGGGAAATATTAATCCCTTTAGAGTCAATCTATGAAAGTCTCCTCAAGAATAAAAGAGCACATTGTAGATGAATACATACAATATAACATACATATAAATTCTAAAAACAAAAAATTCTATCAGTAAAAAATTCTGATGTAGTACGAATTAAAAAATGTAACTACATGGTTAAAAATCAAATTCAGGGTCATGAGTTCAGCCCTGCGTTGGGCTCCATGCATGGGGCCTCCCCAACAAAACAAAAGAAGTTAGGATGATGGTTACTTTTCAGGGAAAAGTGACTGACAGGTAGACCGTGGCTGGCCCTGAGGTGCTGGCCGTACCTTCTTTCTTTTTTTTTTTTTTTAAAGATTTTATTTATTTAACAGAGAGAGACACAGCGAGAGAGGGAACACAAGCAGGGGGAGTGGGAGAGGGAGGAGCAGGCTTCCCGCCAAGCAGGGAGCCCGACGTGGGGCTCGATCCCAGGACCCTGGGATCATGACCTGAGCCGAAGGCAGACGCTTAACGACTGAGCCACCCAGGCGCCCCCATACCTTATTTCTTGAACTAGATGGAGCTTACTGGTGGGTTTTCTGGGTGAAAATTTATTGATCTACATCCTTATGATTTGTGTGCTTCGAAAAGTTATAAATCCATTCTTTAAAAGTTTAAGGATGTTTTAAGTCAGTATGTATGTTATAAATCAATTCTTTAAGAGTTCACTCTAAAGGGGCGCCTGGTGGCTCAGTTGGAAGAGCAGGTGACTCTTGATCTTGGGGTCATGAGTTTAAGCCCCATGTTGGGTGTAGAGATGACTTAAATAAATTTAGGAAAGGAAAGAGTTCATTTTAGAAAATGACAATCAGTAACATTAAAGAGACCTGAGGGACACGTAGAAAAAGGATCTAGAAGGAAAAGAGAACAGAGCACAGCATGGTAGCACCCCCTTGCTTTTGCTCTCTAGAGCGCTTACTCGTAGACGCAAAATTGTGCTTCTATTTTGGCAACTTCTACACTGAGGCAAAGTGAAGTCATTGGAATCTGCTCAAAATGGAGAAAACCCTATATTATCACGTGCCCCCCTGGTATTTACTCAGATTAATGATGACCTAGAGAGAAAACTCAACCCCCACTCCCAGTGAACTGCAGGAAAAATGATCTTGTCCCTTAGGAAAGCTGTGGAGTACGAGAAATGGAAAACATCCCCACTGCTGAGAAGCCAGAGCCCCACAGCGGACCTCTAAGTAGAGAGGCATCCTAGATGCATTTCCTGAGGAGTTCAGGGAGCCCGAAGTCATAAACTCAGTTTGAGGTTTGTATTACTCATCTATTACTGTAACAAGTAACTCCAAATTCAGTGGCTTAAAAAAAAGACAGCATTTATTATCTCGTGTCATCTATAGGTCAGAGATTTAGGAGTGCCTCACCTGGGTAGTTGCAGCTGATGGTCTCTCATGAGGTTGCAAACAAGACGACAGCTGGAGCTCGGGTCATCTGAACGTTTGCCTGTGGCTGGAGGATCCTGAGCCATGTGCTCAGTAGGTGCAGGCAGGAAGACTCCCTTCCTCCTCCCGGGGGCCCTCTTCACAGGGCTGCCATGACTTAGCAACTGGCTTCCCAGAGAGCCAGATCCATCACGTAAGTTCGTTCGGTCACAAAAGACCAGCCCTGATACAGTGCCGTGGGGAGCTATGCAAGGGCATGAATATCAAGAGGTGAAGATCACTGGGGGTCATCTTAGAGGCTGCCTCCAGAGCCTGGCCTCTGACCACCGAGGATCTACGTCTCTTCCATATGCAAAACACACTCACCATTTCCCAAGAGGCCCCAGAGGTCTCAAAATATAACATTTAAATCGTATCTAGGTGTATGTAAGGTACCTCGGGTATAGTTCCTTGGATCTGTCCCTTGAAGAACAAAGGAAGGAAACTGCACCGAAGGAGAAAATGCTGTCACCCCTGCAGGAGGCTTTGGACCCTTGACTCTAGAATTAATGTCTCTTGCTCCACCAGCCAAGCCACATAGGCCCCAGGAAGTAGCTTTCATTTGTCTACACAGATGGTTTTAGCGAACATCACTGCTGTTGATTAGTATTGTAAATACACTCTTGGACTCGGGGAAGACAGCTGAAGAAATAGTTCCAAGTCCATGGGGCTGATTCACTGAACAGAAGTGTAGTCACGTACTCTGAGTGCTACTTGGTGTTCACTGGGGAGCTGTTGTTTGTTATGTTTGTTCTACGTCTAACAAACCATCCCGGCTTAGATAGAGGGGGGGTAAGTAGCATCAATACAATAATCCTTATTTATTTACGTTCGGTTTGTAAGAGTGGGACTCGAAACGTGGAACCAACTGATTGTCTTCCGTAAATACTTATTAATACTTAATATGCTCACTGGCCACCTTTTGATGACTAAGAAAAACAAAACTAATGACAAAGCAGGAAAAGTGGAAAGCAATCAGTGGAGAGCAATAGTTGGAATTACTGTGTTTTGCCAAATATTCATTGATGTAAAAAAAAATCAACCATTCATAGGGAAGGGAATGTCCAGCAAATACAACCCCTCCCCCCCACTTCGTGCCCTGAACTTCACTAGTTTGGGGATGATTTTACCTTCTAAACGATTTTTTTTAACCAGTTTGGAACACCCTCATATGCTTTTATAACCATTACCTAACATTTTTCATCAGATACGCACAAAGACTGTAATGACTGGTATATTGTAAGCTTTTAAGTATTTTTTGAAGTGTAACATCACACTCCTTTATTGTACCAAATGGAATCTAAAAACCATAGTGATTAAATAACTGCCAACATCCCCTGGAAAAAATAAAAAAGCATGCCCTTCTGTGACACTTGGAAATTTTATATTTATATGATTCTCTTGCTCCTTGAATGAGTTTTATGCCAATATAATGTATGTTTACTTAAAGTCCTTCTTTGATCATGCTACTCTACTAGTTTGCACCAAATATAAGTGTAAATATTGAAATCTGAGATTTTGCTGTTTGATGGGACCACAAATCTGTGTTATAATGAATTCTTTTAGTTTGAGTTATATTTGCATTTACTAGTAGTATGCAGTGCAAACAAAACATCACAAGTAGATAATAAATTTGAAAACCCCTTTACTGGAAGATTTTAACAGAAGTAAATATGGAGTTTGTCACCTCCTTCTCCATGAAATCCCCTACAGCATATAAAACCACCTCAACTGAAGGAATATTTCCAATTGCTCTTTTATTGGACACCCTGGATGGAAGGGATTTTACAATTCCCGAACTTCAGGTAGGTGGAAGCTTTTGAGAATTGACTGCTGGGAGACAGCATGATTTCAAAGAAAGCTGGGGAAGAGGAATCCAAATTAGAGGAGGATATGAAAGATCTAAAAACTGGTTTAGGCTTTTGGGCTCATAGCCTAATGAGAAAAACTTAGCAAGAGGGAAGCAAGCATAAAAAGCTTCCTAGCAGAGGATGGTTTCGATCCATCGACCTCTGGGTTATGGGCCCAGCACGCTCCCGCTGCGCCACTCTGCTTGCTGCTTTTGCTTTTCTCTTGTGTCTATTAATGATTAAGGTCACCTTTTGCACGCTGAGAAAATGATCCTTTTTTCTTAATTCCTTCCCTTCTGATGGGTTTTTCGGAGAGTAGCTCTCCCACAACCAGGTGGCTAAGGGCCGTCCCTTCCGGGGCTGCGCTTTTCCAACCTGCCAAAAGAGCGTCCAAGCTCGGGAATTCCCCCCCCCCCCCCCTTAATTTTATTTGTTTTTCTGGGCCGCTCTTTGCTCAGAGAGCTGAGGAAGAGCGCGCCCAGCAAAACGGGGTGGAGCCTTTTCGGGCGGAATCTGAGGAGCCCGAACCGACCCTGAACCACCATCAGCGAGAGGAATCCTGTCGACCACCGCGCTTGTTTCGTCTCCAAAAGTCTCAAGGACACTCGTTTGGATTAAAAAAGAGTTTATTTGCTTGCAAGGGCGCAGATCTTCACAAGGACAATGCGCCCGGGAAAGGGGGCATAAACCCAATTTACTGCTCAAATGATTACATGGCGGCCACAATTCCAACTGGATCTCGTTTGGAGCCGTTGTGACACACAGAGGAACCAAAAATGAGAAACTCATAAAGACAGGGGCTTCCAGACAGACCTTGTTAGGACGGCTCCGAGCACCAGCCCCCGTCTGTCGCTGCCTCTCCGAGGACGCCAGGTCCCAGGGCCCGTCTGCACAGCGGTAAACCTCGTATCTTTACTAATGTCCGCTTCTGGATGACGCGCGTTCGTGAGCTCGCTCGATCACACGGCTGGACCGGGGCTCGCACGCCGGTGCCTCCCTTTACTCCATTTCCCCGTCCGCAACTGCACTGAAGGAGCGGCCTCAGCTGCGTTTACCTCTGCGGCGGGGTGGCGAGCGCAGCGGCCGGCCCAGCCCAGGATCCTTCTCCCATTCCCCGCTGCGCGCAAAGCCCTTCCCGGGACAGAGCCGGGGCGCGCACTGCACAACCCAGCCGGCGGGGGTCAGCGGGGGAGGTTGCGCACAGTCCTTCCCGGGGCAGAACTGGGCGCTCGCGGTCCTTCCCGGAACAGAGCCGGAGCGCGCGCACAGCACAACCCAGCCTGCGGAGGAGGTTGCGCACGGCCCTTCCCTGGTCGGAGCTGGGGCGCACGCGGTCCTTCCTGGAGCAGAGCCGGGGCGCGCACAGCACAACCCAGCCGGCGGGGGTCGGCGGGGGAGGTTGCGCACCGCCCTTCCCTGGTCAGAGCTGGGGCGCACGCGGTCCTTCCCCGGGCGAAGCCGGGGAGCACGCTGTCCTTCCCCGGGCAGAGCCGGGGCGCGCACTGCACAACCCAGCCGGCGGGGGTCGGCGGGTGAGGTTGCGCACGGCCCTTTCCTGGTCGGAGCTGGGGCGCACGCGGTCCTTCCCCGGGCGAAGCCGGGGAGCACGCTGTCCTTCCCCGGGCAGAGCCGGGGCGCGCACTGCACAACCCAGCCGGCGGGGGTCGGCGGGTGAGGTTGCGCACCGCCCTTCCCTGGTCAGAGCTGGGGCGCACGCGGTCCTTCCCCGGGCGAAGCCGGGGAGCACGCTGTCCTTCCCCGGGCAGAGCCGGGGCGCGCACTGCACAACCCAGCCGGCGGGGGTCGGCGGGTGAGGTTGCGCACGGCCCTTTCCTGGTCGGAGCTGGGGCGCACGCGGTCCTTCCCGGGGCAGAGCCGGGGCGCGCACAGCACAACCCAGCCGGCGGGGGTCAGCGGGGGAGGATGCGCACGGTCCTTCCCGGGGCAGAACTGGGCGCTCGCGGTCCTTCCCGGAACAGAGCCGGAGCGCGCACAGCACAACCCAGCCTGCGGAGGAGGTTGCGCACGGCCCTTCCCTGGTCGGAGCTGGGGCGCACGCGGTCCTTCCTGGAGCAGAGCCGGGGCGTGCACAGCACAACCCAGCCGGCGGGGGTCGGCGGGGGAGGTTGCGCACCGCCCTTCCCTGGTCAGAGCTGGGGCGCACGCGGTCCTTCCCCGGGCGAAGCCGGGGAGCACGCTGTCCTTCCCCGGGCAGAGCCGGGGCGCGCACTGCACAACCCAGCCGGCGGGGGTCGGCGGGTGAGGTTGCGCACGGCCCTTCCCTGGTCGGAGCTGGGGCGCACGCGGTCCTTCCCCGGGCGGAGCCGGAGCGCGCACAGCACAACCCAGCCGGCGGGGGTCAGCGGGGGAGGGTGCGCACGGTCCTTCCCGGGGCAGAACTGGGCGCACGCCGTCCTTCCCGGGACAGAGCCGGAGCGCGCACAGCACAACCCAGCCGGCGAAGGAGGTTGCGCACGGCCCTTCCCTGGTCGGAGCTGGGGCGCACGCGGTCCTTCCCGGGACAGAGCGGGGGCGCGCACAGCACAACCCAGCGGGGGTCGGCGGGGTAGGGGGAGGGCGGCCCTTCGCGGGCAGAGCCGGGGCGCGCACAGCACAACCCAGCCGGCGGGGAAGGTTGCGCACAGCCCTTCCCGGGGCAGAGCGGGGGTGCGCACCCCTTGCGGGCCCCGCTCCTGCAGCTCGGGCCGCGGCCTCGGCAACTCCCTGACACCAGCGTCCCCTCGCGGAGACAGACGGAGAAACATCGCTAGTCACTTTCCGGCCAATTTCAGGTTTCCCTCGCTTCCGGAGAGACTCTTACTTCAAGCGGCGTTTAATTCGGGCCTTCTTAAGGCAGTCCAGGTGGGATGGAGCTTCCTTTCGGCCGAGATTTCCTCAGGACAAGGGTGGTCTTGAATTCAGATTTGTTTTCCCAGACTTCACGTGAAGGAGGAGGGAGCCCAGAGACAGGAGCCAGACCGCAGGCTATCCTCTTAAACCCCCAGGGATACTCTAGATCCGAGAAAAGTGAAACGTGATTATTCCTTTCGGGCTTTTACCCTCCTAGATCTTCGTCATCCCAAGGAGATGCTGCCATCTTCAAAAGATGCTGTATTCTCCCAAAAAGCAGTTTTCTTGCAAATTTTCTGACTGCAACCCAGAATCAGAAATACATTTTAAATCACAACTCAATACAGTATGCAAACAAATATGTGTCTATATAGAGAGTATATCCAACTGAATCTATCTATCTATCTAGAGAGAGAAACCGAACTCCACCAAACAATATTTTACTACATGGGATTTATTCTGATATTTTCTATTCCTATTCTATTTCATTTCTTAAAATACCAGTCTTGACTTTTTTTTAAATATTGACTTTACGCTCATTCACTTCTGAGACACAAGATGGATTGAAAAACACTGTCACCTATATAATGGTATTAGAAATGGCTTATCCCTCAGATGTTGGCGGGGATGCAGAGAAAGGGGAACCCTCCTACACTGTTGGTGGGAATGCAAGCTGGTGCAGCCACTCTGGAAAACAGTATGGAGGTTCCTCAAAAAGTTGAAAATAGAGCTACCATACGATCCAGCAATTGCACTACTGGGTATTTACCCCAAAGATACAAATGTAGTGATCTGAAGGGGCACGTGCATCCCGATGTTTATAGCAGCAATGTCCACAATAGCCAAACTGTGGAAAGAGCCAAGATGTCCATCGACAGATGAATGGATAAAGAAGATGTGGTGTATATATATACAATGGAATATTATGCAGCCATCAAAAGGAATGAGCTCTTGCCATTTGCAACGATGTGGATGGAACTGGAGGGTATTATGCTGAGCGAAATAAGTCAGTCAGAGAAAGACAAGTATCATATGATCTCATTGATATGTGGAATTCTTAATCTCAGGAAACAAACTGAGGGTTGCTGGAGTGGGGGGTGCGGTGGAAGGGATGGGGTGGCTGGGTGATAGACACTGGGGAGGGTATGTGCTCTGGTAAGCACTGTGAATTGTGCAAGACTGTTGAATCTCAGATCTGTACCTCTGAAACAAATAATGCAATATATGTTAAGAAAAAAAAATAGCAGGAGGGGAAGAATGAAGGGGGGAAATCAGAGGGGGAGACGAACCATGAGAGACGATGGACTCTGAAAAACAAACTGAGGGTTCTCGAGGGGAGGGGGGTGGGGGGATGGGTTAGCCTGGTGATGGGTATTAAAGAGGGCACGTTCTGCATGGAACATTGGGTGTTATGCACAAACAATGAATCATGGAACACTTCATCTAAAACTAATGATGTAATGTATGGTGATTAACATGACAATAAAAAAAAATGGCTTGTCCCTCTGGGGTCAGATAATAGAGTGGAAGACAGTGACCTTTTCCTGAGGGTGGGACCAGCAGTCAAAGAGTTAAGGAAAAGGTTCCAGTACCCCCAGCTTTTCTTTTTTTATATATATATGTTTAATCATTTTGCTTTTTTTTTTTTTAAGATTTTATTTATTTATTTGACAGAGAGAGACACAGCGAGAGAGAGAACACCAGCAGGGGGAGTGGGAGAGGGAGAAGCAGTCTTCCCGCCGAGCAGGAAGCCGGATGCAGGGCTCGATCCTAGGACCCTGGGATCGTGACCTGAGCCGAAGGCAGACGCTTAACGACTGAGCCACCCAGGCGCCCCCCAGTTTTTCTTTTTGGTATTGACAGTGAACATGTTAACTCTGAGCCTCTGTATTCTCTATGCCTCCCTGTGTGTTTATTCCTGCAGTGGGTGAAGGAATACTACACATTCTAGAGAAGTCCTCTGTGATTCAGGTTTTCCCACCTCTGTCCTACATTTGTCCTACATTTGTCTTCCCCTTCATCTGCTGAAGGATTCTTGCATCCAACCTATTGTTCTGATGGTTCCCACTACTTGGAGAATTCTCACCTCATATCTCTATAGGATTTACCCCCCCCCACACACACACACACCTTCTTCAAGCTTTTGTTCAAATGGCAGGACCAATAAATCCAAAGGCTTTGGAGAGATGCCCCCTGCCCTCCATTTTCTGTGAATACCTCAAAGATCCTTGGATATTAAGTTCCCCTTACATTTTTCCTAGGATGAGTAATTCTCACCTTCCATTGCTGTGTGTGTGTATAGTTCTATCGTT